ACGTGTCTGCGAGATAGGGACTTGAACGCAAAACATGGCCCAACGAGGGCTCAAAAGGGACTGGAATAAAGTAAAGAGATTGTCTAACATAGCCCTAGAAGTCACTATCTAAAGGACGTGTCTGCGAGATACGGACTTGAACGTCGTAAACATAGCCCAACGAGGGCTCAAAAGGGACTGGAATAAAGTAAAGATATTGCCTAACATAGCCCTATAGAAGTCATAGGGACTTGAAAACACATAGCTTCCATATTGTCGGGAAAAGGAAAGCAAGCCAATGCGGAAACTGCGGTCAAAGTAGCCGGTGCCACTGCAAGACACTGCATCATTCCACATGGGCGATCAAATTTAGCGGAAGTGGACGCCAAGCAGATTTTGACAACGAGTGCTGCACGCGAGCGAATGTCGCGTGCAGAGCCACTGACCTCACCGTCCTGGCATGCCCAGTCAACACGCATGGTATTCCAGGTGCCCTCCAAGTGCTCGCCGCCCTGCTGCAGTTTCATGACTCAGACCCCCAAGGACGGACTGGCCTGCAAGCACAACAGTGGTCCTGCGAGGGCGGACAATCCCTGCATCATTGTCCAAGCGTTTGAAAACAGCATGCTCACGCAAACCGCCCAGCCCTGCCAGACACGCCGAGGCTGGCGAAGCACATGAACACGGACTGCTGTGGCCAGTCTATTTCCTTTCCATTAACATACAAATCCTGCTTTCGCATCGAGGTGCCCGCGTGGAGCGATGTAGACACCGCACGCCCCTCCTAAAGCGGCAAATGCAACCACGGCTCTGGCTCAACCTGTCCTTCCAGTTGCAGACATGCGGCTCGGCCGAGGGCAAGGGCCCCCAGAGGCAGATCCGCCTGCAGCTGACATTGGCGGAAGAAGCTAAGCCTGAAGATGAAACTTATTTGGTTCCAGAAGGGGACGGATGTTTCTCGTTCCGGCGAGGACAACTCAACCGTGCTGAGCGCACGTGTTTTTTTTTGCACGGGTTACTATCCAGGTTGCAAGGCCAAACCACCAAGCAACAAAACCCAAACACACACAAACAACCAACACACCAAACAAACCCCCAACACCGCAACCTGGTACGTAGCTCGAGCGGCCGTGTCGACCAAAGGATGAGAAGGTAAAACAGGGGCAATGAATCCATGTGCGGTGTGCACAGGTCATCTTTGCAATGGTTGAACCTCCGCATACTCAGAAACAAGAACCAAGAAAACAACCAACCAAAACCCCCAAACACACCGAACAAAAACAACAAAACCAAGAACCCAGAAAAACGCGACAAGAACGGCGGAGTTTCGTCTCTGTACATCATGTTTTTTTGGCACGAGTGGAGACGCCATGTGTGCGGAGTGCACAGGTCATCTTTGCTAAAGGTGGAAACTCTGCAAGTTCAAAGAGGGAAAGCAAGAACAGAAAAGGAAAACACCAACCAAACACCCCAAACAACAAAACAACCAAAACAGCAAACAAAAACCCCCGAGAAGATCACTGCAGAGTTTCAGCTCTGTACATCATGGTGACACTTAGTGAAACGAGGGAACTGTGGCGACTAGCTATCTGGGCCTCGAATTCAATTTCACGCTGCAGTCCATGCCTGTGGAATGGCATTGTGTGCTCAGGCCTGTGTTCGGACTGGCCTGGTCACAGGCGCTTTCAAACAAAGTGCTCGAAAGCACTCAAGCATATGTGAAGGGGCACGATGTCGATTTGGCAGCTTTCAAAGGAGGAGCTGCGCCGAATGGGTTCCCTCAGAGTGCGGGTCACGTTGAACTGGCTTTGACGCAATGCTGTTCTGGCCTTGGAAAACAGCCTGCTCCTGGTCACAATCATTTCACACAATTGCGATGGTGGGAGAAACTGTGGCCTGTGGTAGGCAGTATGCCGATGGTGGTCATTGCTCGCAAGTGCGCCTTCCGGCACCTGACGAAAACTCCCTCAACAGAGGGCAGAGGGAGGAGTCGCGCACATTTCAAGCAAGCTCCTTAACAGCTAGGCCTACAGGAGCGCAGCAAATGTGCAAGATGCTATCCAGGAAGGATAGTGTTCCTATTCGTCAGTCGACTCGCCTTCTTCATGCATGGCCCTTGTGAGACATGGTGAAACATGGGAAGGCTAGCAAGGTGCCATTTGCCCACTTTGTACAAGATTGGCAGGGTGCGGACCCTCGCCAGGCGAGGAACTAAGGCGCGTGCGGACACCAGTCAAGAACTAAGGCTCCCAACCAGGCCAGCTCACTAGCAGTGCACAAGTATGGGCATGTTGGCTGGAGTCGTCACCGACTCTAATCGGCTATCCTCTCTTTCACTTAGGCTGGAGAGGGCTGTCGAATTGCTTTAGTGTGGCCTACTTGCCGCCTAACCTGTATGCTGCGGCTCGTATGGACTTAAGCTAAGTCCGACTTCATCAGGTCACACACTCATCCTGGATCTCGAATCATATGCAGCCACCGAGGCCATCGCCATGCGGGGCACAATTCGAACGCAGTTTCTTCGGCATATGTCCCTCTCCACGTTGTTCTTTGGCCTGGCATTCTCGTGAGTCTCCACAGGACTGTGCAATCGAGAAAAGCTCTACAGGCAATGTAGTGAAGTGAGGGTGGGATGGCTAGTTCTTGCAAAGCAGCACAATTCATCAAGGCCCTCGGGTGGATTGCGTGTACTGTATATGGAAGGCGGACCTCATGGAGCCTTACTTGGATGACCGGCTCTTCTTGTAAGAACTTGGTGGATTCGGCAAACTTGCTGGAGAGTTTACATGTTCGCTGAGTTAACTTACAAGCTTGCCAAGTTATAACTTGGCGAGGTTGCAAGCCTGCTGTGTACTGCTAAGTGCTTTGTCCACGTTGCTGCACATGGGAAGTTGTTGTACATGGGCGTCAAGTACATACTAGTGTGCCATTCAACATGTGAAACATGCTCACCGCTTGTATGTTGTTGCAAGTCCACCGGCCCGATATTGGCTATATACTTCGGTGCCTGTTGCAAGTTACATAGCGCGGTTGGCTAAGTTGATTAGCAAAGTTAGCCATCTCCCACAAGCAGACTTAGCCAACTCCAATCATGTTCGCTAAGTGCACTTAGCGGATTTGGCCTATGTGTGCTAAGTTCACCTTCTAAAGGGCCCAGGACGCTGCGTGAGGTCTGTATTTAAAAATATAATATGATTTTTTGGTGGGTCGTTTTGTTTTGTTTGTTTTGTTTGGTCGTTTCGTTTGTTTGTGTGGGTCGTTTTTTTGTTTGTTTGTTAGCTCCAACGCACTCGTCTGACGCATACCTGATCCATGCCCGCACCACGGTGTCGTCGGCTTTAAGCTCAACGCATACCGCACGCGCTGCAGCAGTGACGCATACCTGATCCATGCCCGCACCACGGTGTCGTCGGCTTTAAGCTCAACGCATCACGCTGCCGCACGCATGGCTGATAACCCATGACCACCCAAAAAACAACAATTTTCCCATATTTTCCACCAACATATGTTTTCTTAGATAGCACGGACCAACTTCCTTCTACTGCAAAAGCTCGGTCTATAAATAATGTAGGAAACTATAGGAAAGGAAAACAGTAAAAGCTCTCCTCGCAAAGGATGTACCACCCTGAGTTGACTTCTTGACCAAGTCGCGGAACATCCCAGCTTTTCAGTCAGGAGCCCCATTGGAATGATCGGCTCGATGTCGGCATCAGCTGAGACCATGGCTCCCCCTGGAGAGATAGGGAGACTGGAGACTTGTCCATCTGCGAGGGCGACTTGAACTCGCTTGTAACCTTCAACA